TTCGTATTTTTTTTATATATTAAGGAACGAATATGCAAATGAACATATAATCTGTAATTATTTATTGAAATAAAAAATCACTTGTCATAAAAAAAAACATAAAATTTAACAGAAATCATATTTTTTTACTAATTTAACAGACAAAGAATAAAAGTAAATGTATACAATAGTTATTTTTTGAAATTAAATTAAATTTATGAGACAGAGTGCGTTAAAGGTTTTATTTGTTGAAAATAAGTAAATAAATAAAAAATAAATAAGCTGCTCTATTGCAATAAAATTTAAGTGAAAACCTTGCATTTTCCCTTCGAACGGCAGAATAATGGATATTTGCAAGATAATTCTTTCCAAGAATTTCTATATTCGATTTGCAAGAAAAACGAATAGTAACAATAAAAATAAGAATAATTTTGGAAAATTCATATTTTCATTAATTTATTAAAGAACGAACGCATTGAAAGTTCACAGGAACGATATTTATTTATTAAAATCGAAAATCACTTGCTATAAAAGTTGAAAAAAATGGCATAAAATTTGACAAAAATATTATTTTTTAATATCTTATCAGCCAAAGAATAAAAGTAATGGAAAAAATAACTATTTTTTTAAATTAAATAATTTTTCCATTTAACTAGTTTTTTGATTATTTGTGAGGAAAATTTCAAGTACTCAAATCTGTCGTCACATACTTTGAACTAAACTGAAAGTGGATTAAATTCTATCTATCACAGTAAAAAAAAAAAAAGAAGTAATAAAAATTAACAACAAAAGTTATAAAAATTTCAATTTAGTTTAACTAACACGTGAATTCATTAATAGTTCTCAAGCAACTTTTCTTTATCAAAAATTAGAAAAGAAGAATTAGTCAATTTCAAACTTGCCATTCACTAATTTAGTTTTACTATTTTACTCTCTACGCGTGTTTAAAATCAATACATCTGCTACTAGCAATGTTTTGAAACATTGGCTTGAACTTTGCTTGAATTAAATTTCCCAACTTCAGATTTTCTGCATTCGAGGGTAAAATCAATTGCAATTTTACATTCACTATCTCCTGGAGCATGCGCACAAACAAGATATAGTATAGTTTTACACGTGACTAAAGTATACATGAAAACAAATATTTGACTACGGGACAACAGTCTCAATGAGATTCAATTTATTATCAAACGTATATAAAACAAGATAAGCAACATCATCGATTTCAAAACTAATAATCAGAAAAAAATTCTTTAATTTCAATATCCATCATATAATAGCTTCTTAAAACCTTAGTCTGAAATTAAAACAAAAAACACAAACAAGAATAACAAAACTATAATGATAAACATGTAGAAACTATGAATAATTATTCAAATTAAATAATTTCATTTCATTAATGAATATTAGTTCATTTCATTAATGAATAATGAATTAACATTTAATAAATGCAGATTTCATATAAATTTAAAAATATATCAAAATCTATTTATGCATTATTTAATGAAATTAAGTAAAAAAATGTAATAAACAATAGTTTAATTAGTTTCTAAGATTAAAAGCAAAAAATCTTTTCAATAACTTAAAATATTTATTTAAAATCGCTGAAAACAAAGTGTAAAAAAGTGTGATCAATAAATGAAATATTTTATTTATTTACATTTTAATTTTAAGAGTTTAATATTGAAACTATAATTATAATATGATCAATAACATTCAAGTAAAAAAAAATTAAGAATCATCTTAAATTTACTATTAATATAGCAGTGACTAATATTCTGTATAAACTTTCATTTTCGGACATAAACAACTGAAAAAAAATTTTTAGTTATTATTTGGAATAATTTATGATGGTTTTAAAATTGAAAAACACAAAAATATTAGCCATCAATATTTATAAATTGTCTAAGGACAAAATATTAGAGGTTTTTACTAATTATTCGATAGCTATTTTACGGTTTTAATCATATGTTTATTCACATTCAATACATTCACGAACTTTTACTTAGGGAATATTCTAAACTATTAAAAAAAACTATTCTAAGCTATTATTAACCCATGTATTTTAAATTGCTTCAATTTACGGAAGATAGTTCGATCAAACATTAAGCACATAAAAAGCAGTTTTTATTTAACATGTTTTAAATGTTTTAAGTACTTTAGAAAATATCAAAATAAAAAAAAAATTCAAAGATTAAGATCTCCAAAAACAGATAGGTTTGAATCACTCTTCTAAAACCATAGAAACCACAACAAAATATTATCAAATGTCCATAGAAAAACACAATGAATACACAATATTCGGTTTTTAAAAGTAATTTCTATATGGCTTTTCAATCCAAAATAATGTCAATCCAAAATAATTATATAAATATAGGATTTTTAAAACAAAAATAAAACAATATTCTCCAAACTATCAATTATTATTTTTTTTCTGGCCATTAACACACTTACCTGATGATGCTGAAATATAATATAGAATGGTATTTGAGATTTTTCAATAAGCAGAACAAACTGAAAATACATGAAAATAAGAATTGATTCCTCTTCCTAATGTTTATTTATTTTTTCTCTACATAATATACTCACAAACATGCGCAGATATATAGTAAAATAATTTGTCAACATTTTAATATAAATACAGTTCATTTCTAGCTTGGTTCTTTAGTGCATATAAAGTTTCTTTTTTCAATACATTTTCACAAACTTAAACATGATGTCTTTCAATTTCCATTTAAAATCCAAAATAATGTTCGAAAAATATTTCTTTTACAAAATTATAAAATCAGAAGAAAGTTGCAATGAAGTTTAATGCATAAAGAATATTTAGGATAGAATTTTAACTCAAAAAAATACCCTCTTTGGTTTATACCCTCTATAATTTGGATGTTGAGGCTATTTCTAAATGCTAGGTCAATAAACTATAAGAAAAAATGAAATACACTAACTTTTACATAGTACTTCGTTCTGACTTTATTCCTTTCAGTTTAGTAGAAAATAAAAATGAGTTTTAGGCGTTTGACATTTTTTCCTTCATTTTAAATCTTTCAAACTTTAACTGTCAAGAGAATGACATTCGCAAAGTATTCAATTTTAAGTTGCATTTTTTATATCAGTCGTCGTTCTGAAACGACATACAATTTAATATAAAAGTGTACTGAACGTCAAAAGTTTGCGAACTCAAAGTTAGTTTAGTTTTATAGACTTAATAAATGTTCTTAAAATATAATAATTTTTATCAAAGTATTTAAAATTTTTGAAGAAAACATTCTTTTTAATCAAATCTAAAAACTTTTTAAAATACATGTTGCGTGTTAAAAATATATATATCTCACATTTTGTAATTGTTTCTCTTTTGTTTTTGCTATTATTATTAGAAAAACGTAAAGCTAAATAGTTTCTTACCAAAAAATTGAATACTTTACAGAAGATTCTAAGTATGTAAAAATACTTTTATAATTTATAATATTATGTTATTTTATTACGAAACTGAATTTTGCCCTCTTTGTTCTTTTTTATAAATCATAAAGAAAATAAGATCACAAAACTGCATGTTAGATAACATTCGAAAAAACGTGGACATCTTACATAGATAAATAAGATTACTAATTCAAAGTTATATTCTGTCATACTTTTAATAAAATATATTAATAAAATACAATTTGTGCCTTAACCTACAGTTCAAAGTGTTCCATAATAACAAAAAATATAATTTTCTTCCTTAAGATCCTGAACGTTTTTTCAAGATGAAGTTTTTTTAATAATTTGTTTCAAAGAAATATTTTAGTTATATATTTTGTGTTTAACTTTCTACCTTCGTTAAAAATCTTTCAAATGGAAAATTATAATTTTGAAAAAAATTTTTGAAATTGTTTAAATATTTTTTTACAAAGGAAACTAAAATATCAATATAATTTCCTTATGCTTTAGAAAAATTTTAATCAAATAAAATTATAGTGTGAATAAAATTTGTAGAATTTTTTATATTAATAAAATAAGAGTAATGTGCATTTGGATTGTTTATCGTAAAGCTGATGAAAAAAAAAGTTTTACGTTACTACAATTTTATGTTCAAAAAATTCTAGGTGTCGCTGTGTGTTACGAGTAAGTGAAGCGCGAAATATTTAACTCCATAATGCTCATTTCTTCACCGTTAACACTTTTAATAAAAAAAACACTATTTAATTAAGAAAAAAAAATATTCCAAAAATAATTTGCCCTTTACGGAAAAATAACAATAATTGAAATATTTCTAAGAAAATTTTATCGGCAGTTAACTTTCTCTGTCTAATTCTAACAATTGCGAAGGTAAATTAAGATCCAACATTCGCAATCATTGAAATAAATACTATACTACTTAATTATTTCACATTTTCATTCAAAATACCTTTAAATAGCATAGTAAAATTTTGAAATTTTCTTAAAATGTAAGTAAAAAATAAATGCTAATATATATTAACAAATAATTTTTATGGTTAATAAATAAAAAATAATAAATTAAGTAATATAGTGCTCAATTTCTCATGAAGAAATAAATGTTATATAATGTTTTTTTTTTTAAATTTAATAATGTATAAAAAGAACGAAAAAATAATTTTAATCATCTTAATTAGTTTTTAATTTTAGTATCTAAATAGCTCAAATTATGTATGATTATTTAAATTATTTTAATCAATGTAATTATTATTTCGTTCTACTAGGCGTAATAAACACCTAGCATGCCATTCACTTTTTTTTTTTTTGGAATTCCAAAACCAAGTTTCATTATTTATCAATATGATTTATATTTCACGTAATTAAGTTTTAACTTTTATTTCGAAGAAAAATAAAAAAATTTCTTTCATGTTATTTTAATTATAATGCTGAACTTATCAATTATTTTGTCATTTTTATACATACATGAATAAATAATTATTCTCATGAAATGTAAAAAACATATCAACATATCGTGAAATGTAATATACATATAAACAAACATTACTTCAACATTTATACAAAATAAGCAAAACGTTTACACTTACCATTTTTAGAGAATACGAAGAATATAACACACCAAATCAAAATCATCATTGGTGTAAAATGTGCAAACAGTAAATTCGTATGATGTTAGTAAAAAAGCGAAATATAAAATTACTTAAAGTTTATTTTCAAAAATTGGAAATTATTGAAGAACTAGATTCAAATTATATACAGTACTTATATTCCATCTTTTTCAACGCTCTATTTCTTTAGTGAAAAATCTGTTATAACGTGAGTTTTAATACTAAAAAATTCCAAAATTGTGCGTTTTACACCTAATTGATTAACGCTCAAAGTGCTTTACGTTTAAGTGTTTTTCACATGTAATAAAAGTGATTCAACAATAAGAGTAAATTACAATTATTCGAAGATTAAAAGTAGTCTCTCTCAAACGTTGTATAATTTTGTCTTATAGTCTCGTTTGTTTTTTTTGTTTTGTGGTAGACAAATTTAGTTACAAGTAATCGGCACAATTATGTAGTTTTCTTTATTCAAAACTGGAATATAAAACTCGATGTATAGACACTATTCCAACACTAACGATTAAGAAACCTTAATATGAATTACTTAAGAAGTATCATAAGTTAAAATCACGCCTAAAGTTTCGAAACTCTCAGTACAATAAATGCGTCCGGCCACGATGAAGTGAGTTGCCTGACTGCCGGATAGTAGGAAGTAAAGCACGTGAGAGAAAGTGCGCTAGTGTAGTTGGAAAGGTGAATGAGATGATATTTCTACTCTAGGAAACCAGCGTGTGGGTGTTTGCGTAGGCGTCATTGAGAGTAAAGGGTGAAAAATCGAAACTTCGAATACTGTGATATACTTCGAGCGCGTCTGATACTTTGCTGAGTCTGATACCGAGGTTTAGGAAAAACATATCCTGTTATTGAAACCTCACTTATTAAAATTTGTAATTTTTCAAAAATAAGCTATTTATGGATTTCTACTAGTTGATGATTTAAATGACAGTTATTATAATAAAGTAAATATTATGTTCTAAAAGATTATATAAATAAATTTTCAAATTAAAATACGTAAAAATTTTGTTTTGCAGTACCTTAGATATAGATGGTTGAACTAAAACAAATTTTTATTTTCAGTAAGTCCTAAATGTACATTTAACTAAAGATAATCTTCCACAAATGAATCATTCATAATATATATAT